ATATACACACACACACACACACAATTTAATTTGTATCAATTTAAGTTAACAGATACCCATTTCAAAAGGGGCATTTTATGGCAGGAGTCATTTCTTGCCCCATTAAAGAAAAAAAAAGCAGCGGCCCTTACAGAAAAAAAAAAAGTTTGGGGACTCCTGGTATATTTATAATTATGCATATGAATATAATTTTATTGGGCTATATCCACAGCTAGTGTTTTGGCCAACTATGAACTTCCGGTGAGATTTTTTTCAAATTTCAAGGTTTCTTTTACAGCATCGATGTTGTGATGCCTTACAAATATAATCAGTTAAATAGACTTAAGCATCCATTTGGTTGTTAAAGCGTAAAAAGAGACGTGAAAGTGCAGACTCCATTAGCACCAGGCTAGCTTGGAAATTTTATTGAAAATACTGGGGTAAAATAAACTGTCATATTTAAAGACATGGCGTGGAAAAACAGAATGTAATGCAGTGCTTCCTGTTTGGGCTGATACCCACTTTATATCTTATCTCAGCCAGGCAGTAGAGATCGCCGTTTTTAAAGAAATCAGATCTTAAACGCGGTGATTTTGTATGGGACAGGAAGCCCTGGGTCTGGTTGACTGTGAAGTCGGTGTGCATGTTCCCTCTCCTGAGCTCTAGAGGGCGCCAAAACTCTAGTTTTCGTTTTTCTGAAGTGTCAAACTCGGATGTAAACATTCATCATGGCGCCTGCTGTGTTGTGGTTTTCATTTCTGCTAAATGTGTTTGTACACACTGAAGGATTCACTGAAGTTCAGCCTCTTCCAGATTCATGTTATAAACCGATGAAGGACCACAGACCGTCATTCATAAAGTAGGAAATATCTTCATTGTAATAGTTATTTTAATCGCAACAACAAAACCTTACAAAAGGTCCCGCGTGACAAAATAATTTATAGTAAATAATAGAACCATATTGTAAAGTACTCGCATTTCTTGCTTATCTGTTGTGGAAATCATATGTATTGTGGTACATGTTTTGTAATGTAAACAAATGACGTTTTTTAAACTCTACATTTAATTTTACTTCAACACACCAGAAATGAATGATAATAAAAGCGCATGTATAAAACAGTATTTGTTGTTTCTCAGTTCACTATAGTTAATACTACAGTATGCTGAAACACTCATTAATAGTGTTGTAAATACTATAATACAGTATATTACACTCTGCAGCTCAAAAAACACCGTAGTATGTACTATAAATGACTATAGTAATTTTTTCATGTGGTGTATTATGAATATTTTTGTATATGATTTTACCACATAATGCACTACTATTGTGAAGTGCCATTAAGGCTGATAATTATATATTTTACGTGTACTTTACTATGGTAATAACATTTATATATTTAATTTTTTGCATATGCAAAATAGCATTCAATATACACTACCAGTCAAAAGTTAAGGTCAGTAGGATTTTTAAATGTTTTAAAATAAGCAAATTTTCACCAAGGCTGCATTTATTTAATCAAAAATACAGTACACATTGTAAAATTGTAAAAAGTTATTCACTATTAAATAACTGTTTAAAAGTAGATTATGGCCTCCCAAACATCCCCATCCACTGAATTGGCTCGATCACTGTCTCTCCACTCCACCAATAGCTGGTGTGTGTGGTGAGTGCACTGGCGCTGTTGTCCTGTGGCTGCCGTCGCATCATCCAAGTGGATGCTGCACACTGGTGGTGGTGTGGAGAGTCTCCCTCATGATTGTGAAGCGCTTTGGGTGTATGGCCATACACAATAAATGCGCTATATAAATACACATTACATTATAATTTAATTTAATAATTTATTCCAGTGATTTTAATGGTGAATTTTCAGCTTCAGTACTTTAGTCACATAATCCTTCAGATATCACTCTAATATTAATTATTATTATTATTATTAATGGTAATAGTAATAAAAGCAATAATGACTGGAGTAATAATTTCATTTAAAACTACATACAATAAATAATAAATAGTTGAAATCAGAATTATTAACCCCCCCCCCCCCCCCCTAATTATTAGCCCCCTATTTATTGATGTAAAATCAGATTTTCAAAAAAATCTGGAAAAAAATCTATATGTTAAAATTAAATGTATGCGTGTTAAAAAAAAAACCTAATGGATTCAGAAAAAAAAAAACAATTCAAATGAAGAAAAAATAAACTAAGTTTTTTCAGACTGTCTAGGCTTATGTTTTTGAAACAAAATTACTTTTATGTATTTATCTGTTTCAAATTTATAAATTGTTTTTGAGAAAAAAAAAGTCATTTATTTTAATTAAGTAAATGTGTCCTAATTTATGAACGTTCAAAAACAATTTGGTATATATTACATGAATTATCGCTGTATTTTAATTAAACATTTCAAACATTTAGTAAATTTAGATAGAATATTGTAATAACTTAATTAATAACTACAGTACTTAGCACATGCTAGAATTATTAAATCTAAAAAGCACTTTACCTTCTATTTACAGTTTAATTCAGAATTATTAGCCCACTGTATATTTTCCCCTTAATTTCTGTTTAATGGAAAGAAGATTTTTTCAACACATTTCTAAACAGTACAAAGTAAGGGGCTAATAATATTACCTTAATAAAATTAAAAACTCCTTTTTAGTCTTTCCCAAATAAAACAAATAAGACTTTCTCCAAAAGAAAAAAATATTATAGGAAATAATGTGAAAAATGTAAAAATCATTTGGAATATATATATATATATATATATATATATATATATAT